GTGGTGCCGTGTCACTGCCAAAAACCTCCCAGTGCACCCTATGGGCACAGAACCTGCCCACAAGGAGACCACACAGCTTCCTCTCCCACACCCCAGCCCCTACATCTCAATAACACTGGGGCATTAGGAGGTCCCGTCTTTACGCTCATTATTTCCTAAGCCTTAAACTCTTCCCCCTCCCCCTTTCACCCAGCCTCCCCTCAACCTGGACTGATCCCTCACATCTCAGTGAAGCCATCACTTCCCCCAGCTCACCCTCCCAGAACCCCAGCTGCACCCCCACCAAGAGTGGATTGGGAGCTATTTCCAAAGCACACAGTGCTTATTCCTGTGGTGTGCTTTCCATGGCAGATGCTTGCCTACACCATCCACCCACCGCTCCCAGCACCCCCATCACCGCCGCCCCAAACAAGCTGTTTCTATCTCTCCCAAAGCATAGTATTATAGGAGCCTCAGTATCTGGTAACTGGTCCCTAAAACCACGGAAACAAAGGCAAACAACTCTGACTATAGTTAACATTGAAATAAGTGTTTTAAGTTATTTTTTAAACTTTGCAACAAGCAATTCTGAGCATTGGCCCAATGATAATACAACATTTTTGAGTCCCCACCATGTATCTGACACTACGTTAAATATTAAAAGATATTACTGCTAGTCTCGCTATGCCTCTAACCAGGGAGGTAAATCTACCCTCATTTTATTTTTAAAGATTTTGTTTATTTACTTATTTATTTTACAGAGAGAGCAAGAGAGCGAGTAGGGGGAGGAGGAGGAGGAGAGAATCTCAAGCAGAGAGAATCTCTAGGAGGAGGAGAGAATCTCAAGCAGAATCTCAATTTGCACACAGAGTCCGACACAGGGCTGGATCCCATGACCCTGAGATCATGACCTGAACCGAAATCAAGAGTTGGACACTCAACCGACTGAGCCACCCAGACGCCCCAATCTACCCTCATTTTAGAGAGAAAAAAATTGAGGCCCGGAGGTTGAGTCACCTGCCAAGGTCACAGGGCCAGTGGTTGATGGTGCTTCCACTCAAAAGCTGCAGACTCCAAAGCCTGCACGCTTCTCTTCATGCTGGTGGCTCTGAGAGTGGGACTGGGGTTCTTGGGTCTGTAGGAGGTAATCGGCCTCTCACTCTCATTCTCTCTAAACAAATGTAAGTGGACTTTTGCAAAAGCTCATAACTTGCATGCAGACTCTATGCAGTGGCAGATGTTAGAATCCAACATTTGAGAAAATGTAAAACAATGTCTTTAATTTTTTTTGTTTTAGAAAAGAGTTATTTTTCATTTACAAATGTTACTGATGTTAACACATAATGGTTTATTATTTTTAAAGTTTATTTATCTATTTATTTTTAAGCAATCTCTATATCCCATGTGGGACTCAAACTCACGACCCCGAAATCAAGAGTCACACAATCTTCCTACTAAGATGCCCCAGTTTATAATTTTTAAATTATCAACAAATAAATATTTCAAACTGTCCCCAGTTTAAAGTTCTAAGACAATAAATATCAACACATATAACCCACGTACACGAAGATCTTTGGAGTCCTCAATTTTTAAGCATGTAAATGGGTCTGAAATGAAAAGGTTCAGGAACCGATATCCTTCCTTACCATCCACTAAAAAGAAATATAAGCTAGGTTTTTTTTTCCCCTGTAAACTTTATCAAATGATCAGGATAGTCTGGAGCTAGCACCAAAGAATGTGTCCACACTCCACGATGAACATTATGGTCCAATGAACTCTGGCCTTTCTAACATTTTCCTTTGCTGACTCTTCAACATAAAGTTAAATTTATCTTTAAAGATACTTCTGTGTGTCATATAATTTAGACAATATCTGTTCAGAGCCCACGAGACATTTAAAAAGCCTAACTTACATTTTTAAAACATGAAAAAATCAAGATAAAAAAGCCAACAGGCCTGAATGTGATAATTCAGCAAATCACATCAATATTTCAACCTGATCTGGCGGTTTCCCTGCTACACAGCATGGTTTTGAACTACCATTCTATCATATATGAAATGCAAAATAATTTTAGTAGTTTTAAAGCAAAACATAATTAGATAGATATACTTGCTAGAGTAGAACGTGAGTCATTCACAGGGAGAGAGAGGTTTTTAGGATTACGTGATAGCATTTTGAATTACCCACATCATTATCCTCATCACACCTGTCAATATGGGCTAAAGGAGGGGAAATATTTGCACAAATCAAACTTAATTAAATTCAGTTTCATAACTAAGGCTGTATTTAATCATATTTAACCTGTTCCTTAAAAATAAAGGTAGTTTTACATTGTATTTACATGTGAGATGACATAATTATGAAGTAAGGTCTGTACTGGAGGAGACCAGAACTATAGCCTGGAGGAGAATGAACATGAGTACACGCCACCAGCTGGCAACATCCTAGGCACTTGGTATATATTAATTTCAACACCTTTTGCGATAGGTACTATCTCTCCTATTTTACTGATGAAGAATCTGAGGTTCAGAGAGGTTAACTTGTCTGAGATCACCAAGCTAATAAGGAGCAGAGCTGAAATTCGAACACTTTTCTGACTATAAGAGTCAGAATCTCTTCATAAGACTTTACACCTCCCTAGTATTATTTTCAGAACTGAGTGCTTCAAAATCTGAAGAGGATGCAAAGTTAAGCAGAAATAAGAAGGCAAATACCACAAACAAAAAATTTTTAAGGGCAACTGAACTTAAATAAAAATCCCTCAAATGTACTTGTTTACATACATCCCTAAAACAGTTCTGAGTTTGTCTATAATGGCGTACTCAAGAATGTGGAGCTGGAGAAAAAGGGAACTACACGTCGTGTCCCCCAGAGTCTAGCACATACGAAACCCTCCAATGTCGAGTGACTCGAATGCCACATACTCGCATCCGTCCTCTGAAATGGCTATTGAGGTGTTTTGTGCTCCTCAAACTAGGGAAAGCTGGAGGAGATCAACAATTCCCAACCAGAGATCGTATTACCACCACAGGGTATCTCCTTCAAACTGTGCTTGTCCTCCAGCGGAGTGAGAAGATGCTGGAATAAGGAGAAGTCAGAATCACTGCTCTGGAAACATCCCTCATCCAATAAGACGCTTTCTGAGAAACCAGAAAAGAATAAATCCTGAAAACTAAGTCACATTCATTTCTGCCCTAGACACCACCCAGGTTGGCCGGCCTCAGGGACAGCACTTTCAGTCAGTTCTGAAGAGGGGCATCTTGCCTTGAGATTGATATAAGGAAAAACAAATCAGCAGGGTTTGATTTTCTCCACTGACTCCTTTGCACTTGTTTTCCCCGAGGCCCTCTGCTCCCAGCCTCTTGTCAGACTGGCTTTCTCACCTCCCCCTTCACTTGGTCCGGGAACCACAGGGCTCACAAGCCCCTTCCCACAGGCTACAGGTTGGGCGTCTGCTCCCAGAGGAGACAGGGAGCAGCTCTCTCCCGGGCAGCTCCCACTGACCTTGGGGGTCCTGCTGAGAATATCCCAGTGTGCCAGACCTCTGGGGGCAGCTTCCCCCAAAACCCCTACGTATCCTTGTGTCCTGGGTCCCCAGGAGACTTTCCTGATCTCCACTCTCCCGCTCCCACCAGGGCTGAGGCTTCGGAGTCTCTGTTCTAAATGCCTCTCCACCTGGGCTACCCCACACAGATTTGTTTCCTGACCAAACCTTTCTACACTTACATTGCTTTAATCCCTTCTGTTTCTACTCCCCAATCCCTGGTCTAAACTGTCCTTATGGGCCTGGACCACAGGATGGCAGTTTAATTTCTGGTCTTCCAGGCTTCTGTGAACTGTCTAATCAATATCCCAAGCTCCCCCACAGAAGTCTGAATTCCTTAAAACTGAATGCAAGACCTCCACCATCTGGCGTGCCCCATGGCAAGCTCAAGGTCCCATGGCCCCGAGTCATTTACCGAGTCATCCCCAAACCAGAAATGCCATCCTCAGCTCACTGTCCCTGGCTAAGTCCTAGCCAAATGCCAAGCACCCACATCCCCAGGTATTTCCTGTCTCTGGACACTTGTCACATAACCACGTGGAGTCTTTCAGTGGGCTTCTCTTTCCACACATTGGTCATGTTTTCCCTCACCGATTCTAAGTTCATTAAGAACTGCTCTAAAATCGCCTCCTGTGCCATCCAAACTCAAGTGGCAATCATGGTGGAAGATCAATACCTATTTTTGAATAGCACTCAGAATAATCTGTACATATATAGATATTAATGTATTTTTCCTAGACCTAGGGCACAAACACCAACGTTTATAATGGAAGGACATCTCTGTGAATACAAGAGCTTGAAACTTAAATGTCTGCTTATAAACTCGGTAGGATAACGAAAATGGCAGCTTACAAAAAGGAAGACTCCTGCTGTGGCGCCAGGTACCCAAATCTCTTAGAGACCAAACGTTTTCTGCAGATTAACGTTGACTATGATTTTCTACACTTTGCAATTTAAGTTCACACTAGCATCCAATAGCTGGTAAAATAAATATTACAGAAGAACACATTTTGAAGCTTCCCAAGGGAAAAAAAAATCGTAATTTTCTAAAAGAGGTGGGAGGGACTGCCACAAACATGGAAAACTTTGCTGGAAACCACGTTTCGGTGTGTTTTTAAACGAGAGAGAGAAAGAGAAAGAACAAGAGTCCAATGTCCCTGTCCCTGTTGGCACTGACACAGTGACAACTCTTGCAGGCAGGGCCCCAGGGTTAGTTATCCATGACATGTCAACAGCACCTACCGCAATCCCTGGGACAGAATGATTCAAGACTGTTCTGAATCGGTGAATAAACGCATAAGCCAGTAAGTGAGAGACTCATAGAAAAAAAAGCGAGATTCCGGTGCAGCTTACAGGATAAAAATTAAGGAACTCGTAATGAAACAGCTTTCCGTGAAATTCAAAGGAAAAATCGATTAGAGAAGTTTACCGTCTTGCACTTTCTACTGTGAGGCCGGCAGGATCCGAGTTCCCTTACCTGAGGCACAGGCACTTTCTGCGGGGTGTTCTGGGGTGATGGATGGAGCTGTGCCCAAGGCTGGTGATGCGGGTGTGGGGGTGACGACTGGTGGTGCAAGCCCGGGTGGGGCTGCATCGGAGGGCAGGTTGGCAACTGCTGGAAAGACGGCTGCTGACCAGGATGCTGTTGGCCAGGCAGCAGTCGTTCCTGGATGGCTTGGGGATCTGCAAGGCCAACACCAGGACAACCATTTGGTCTCATGTGCCCGGCCAACTCCCTCGGTGCCGAGGACATGCCCATGAACGGACGAGACGGCTGCATGTTTCGGGGGCCCATGTTCCTCTGTCCGATTCCCATGGCACCGGGGGGCTGGTGAGATGGCTGAGGGTGGGGCATATTTGGATAACTGCCAACTTCCATTGGCATCCCAGCACTTCCGGGCCTGACCTGCGGCGGAGGGGTGCCTGCCGGATTACTCATCGCTTTCATGGGTGACATGGGAGGTGGAGAGGCGTAAGTTCCCTGAGGCTGTGAAGGATGCATAGTTTGTGTGTTCATTTGGTTAAGTGAGCCACTGGGGTGGATGGGCTGCTGGTGCATTAGTCCTTGACCACTGTTCGATGGGAATCCTACAGCATTGGGGTATCTTGGTACGGACTGATTCATTGGAGTATTATTTGTAAGGCCTAAATTTTGATTCATCCCTGTATTGTTAACTAATCCCTGATTTAGGTTACTGTAAGGATATCGAGAATACTGCCCTGAGTTGTTTATAGTAGGTGAGGGGACGGTCTGGCTCCGAGAACTAAAGGTAAGGGTCTGTGGCCTCACAGCCCCTTGCTGAGGAGGATTAGGGGAGAATCTGGGGCTGTGGGCAACGGATTCTCCGTGGAGAGCAGTAGGGGGGTGGTGGTGGAACTGCTGCACCGGATGACGCAAGGAAGGCGCCATGCTGGGACTCTGCGGGGGCACGTGGGACAAGTGGCCGGGGCCCGACGTGGCAATGAAGGGACTGGCCTGATTGAGGCCCTCTTGGCCTTGGGAAAACTGGCTCATCCTCTGCTGTGGCTGACCATGCTGCTGCATGGAGAAATCCCCACGTGCCATGTAGCTGCCCATCTGCTGCATGTGCTGAGGGTGGCCCTGCGTGGGGGGCCCCGATGGAGCGGGCTGGGGTGGCTGGGGCTGGGGCTGCGGCTGGTAGGGGGCCCGTATCTGGTCCGGCACCTGCACAGCCCGGGGGCCCCACATGGAGCCACTGTCCACGAAAGACTGCCCATGCCTTTCGTTCTGCAGGCCAGGGTAGACGCCCATCTGACTGCCACCACTGCCACCGTGGGGGACCTGAGGGACGGGAGGGGCGTGATACTGCGAGTGAGGAGACGCGAGCCCGTTCCCAGGGGCGCTGCTCATCATCCTGTTTGGCTGATCCATCAGATGCATCTTTTGTTGTTCGTACTGATTATAGTGGTCGAAATGGGTCAGCTTTGTTTGATTTTGATTAGTGGAGGGATGATGAAGGGATGGCTGCAAGGAGGCAAAGCCTTGGTCTATCGGCATTTGCTGACCCATGGGGTTCACCGGATTTTCAGGGTAACCACATTCTCCAAGGCCTTCAAGGCCTTCGCTGAAAATATTCCCATCCTCGCCAAAAAGACTCATCATTCCTGGGTCCGCCATCTTCTTCCAACACACGGCTCCTCCAAACTACAGCTCAGGAGCTTGTCTGTGCTTCACCTCACTGAGGTGTTTGTCCTCAAAGCCTATAATCCTTAACTAATCTTCTTCATGTCATTCCGTATTTCTTTAATTCTCCTGGACCCTGCAGTGTCAGGCAAAGTCTGGATAGAGGTCCTAGAAGAGAGTGGGAGGTGGGGGGGGGAGGGGAGAGGGGGGAAGAAAACAAAGAATTAGGAACAAATGATAAAAACTGCCAGTATTTTACGCATTTGAATTTGGTTTCCATCAACAATACTAATCTAGCCCCCTCGCTGAGCTGTGTTTTATAAATCTAGTTCACTTTCAGAGAAACTCATTAGCTTCTACCAGAAGCATAATTATGATCGGTTACTTAGAAAGCAAGCAAAACACTAACCTTAACCTTAAATTAATCCATTCACTACACTTCCTAGCGCTCCATTCTTGGACGGAACAGAACAAAAGAACACAACATGAAGCAACAGCAGCTGCCACAGCAGGCTAGCAGATGTAGGACTACAGCGGAGCAGCCCATCTGCTGAACGAACGCCCTGGAGATGCTCTGGCTCCCAGCAGCCCGCCCTCAACCTTATTCCCCTGAGCAGGGTAATCAGAGGGGCAGCCGCGGCACCGAGGGCTGTGAAAAGCTCAACTTAGTCAAACTGACTAGGGGATTATACAAATACCAAAATCTGCCATTTCGTACAAATTAGATATTTACGGCCCACATACCACTATGTAACAGCAACAGAGGGGTCAAACAAGAACGTGTCCACAACGATGTTCCAACGAGGGAGCGTCCATAATGACAGTGGAAAGCAAGCTCGCAAACAGTGTAATAAATTCATGACTCCATTACGTTTAATGGCAGGAATATACAAGAGTCAGAAAGAGGTCAGAATAAAAGCTTTCATTCTCCAAGAAGGCCGATTTCACACATGGCTCTGGGCCCACTGTGTCCCCAGTCTGTGCTGCCGGCTGAGAGGTCTGATCACAGGTCATGGTTCCCCAGCAGGTGCCGGACCCTGGGGATGGACCCAGAGCCCACGTGACCACTCAGAGAGACTCTAGCTGGATGGACAGTTGCTAGAAGATGACTATTCTCATCAGAAGAAACCGAAAACTCTCCCCCAAACTGGCCAAAACTGAAAATTACTTTAATGGAACAAAGTTCAAAATATCCATGCAGGCTTCACCCTTGCCTTCCCCTCTTCTAGGACAAGACAGGACGAGAGCCTGTAGGGAGAAAAGCCCATCCGTCAGCATCCTGTGTTTACAGCACCAGGTATGTTCTACCTACTGCTCTGCATTTTATTCAAACAGTTCCTAACAGATTTTGCACGTCTGATTAAAATAACCAGTTTAAAGAATGCTTCACCAATCAAAACAGGAAAGCCTTTTTGGCGAATGCTAATTAAATCAACAACCTAATAAAGAACTAATTCACATAGGAAAAATGTCCGAAATCTTAAACATCTTTGGAATTTAACTCATTTTTTCCCTCTTTCACAAGTACATGAAGCATTGTTTGATACTGTCCAACTTGAAAAAAGCCGTATCTTGTTGAAGAATTTCAAGAGTGATGTTAGAAACAGGCTCAGTCATAAATTCTATTGACACACTTCCATAGCAGCATGGGAAGAAACAATGGGCAACCAGCACTGCTGAGAACTTTCCAGTACGAGAGAGAGAAAACCCAGTTCCTGTCTGTCCTACTCTAACATATTCCTAACAAGGGGAGAATTTTGCTTACAGGAAATGTAAACAACATTCCTGTTCACTGTCAGAACTACAGACAGAACACCTGAGAAGGTCTCCGGGTCTGTAGTTTTCAGGTGACAGCTGTCAGCTGAAGTCAAAGGTCTCCTCACTCCACCGCTAACTGCCATGAATTTTCTGATCGACTTTCTCCAAAACAGAGGTCAGAAGGGTGAAAATAAGGTGAGCATGAAAGCCATTTTATTTACCGACATGCTGCTTTACTACACAACCACTTTCGAATCCAAAATAAAGAGAAGCAGAAACCTTCAGTGCCAAGTGCAACAAATATTCATAAACTGAATTTACTCAACAGCCTAAGCAGTCGGTCTTCATTTATTCAAGACTCATTCCAGCTTTCAAGGAAATAAATACTAGAATGGACTTGATAATGGCTGAAACTAGCCGTGCAGACTAACCACTTACCAAAATAACCTTTCAAATTAGCTTAAGGGAAGTAATGTCCACTCCTATGGACGGATGGCCTTGTTCTTACAGGATAACGGCTTCACCCTTCCTGGGTCCCCCACGCGTCCTGGGAGGCAATGCTACTGACTGCATGGGGTTCCCAACCAGCTCTGGGGAGCAAGCAGCCGGGGTGGGGGGGGAAGTGGCCTGGTGTTCTGAGCCTGGAGCAGCAGTGGTGGAGTTGACGCTGACTTTGTATCCGCTTGAGGCTGAGCGGAAAGAGGAAAAAGAACTTGCCTACAGGCACGGGGAGGGACGAAACAGAACCCTCATGGAGAGCAATCCTACCTGACGCATAGGCTTCCAGTTAGCCGATCTTTGCGACTGAGACTCACTCCATTTCCCAGCAGCAGGAGAGATGACGGCATTACCTGGTATCGGGTAAGCGCACCACCCACCACAACTGAGACCACCGTCAGGTGAGCTCGGGGCAGAGGAGTTCAAGAACTATGGCTTCAGCCTGTCATTAGTGACTGCTCCCACTCGCCTGGACGGCCACCACCGCCCTCCTGCCCCTTTTCTGACCTCAAGACTTGGCTGGCGACTATGCTAGGAATCCATCTGGTAGCTGGATTTCATATTTCTGATCTGAGCTAATCTAATTAATTTATTTTGGTCTTTTTTAATTTGATCAAGTCCATTTGAATACCACTTTCCCAAGTCACAGCTGCAACATATAATTTTGTTTCTATCAAAGATATTCATTTAAAACTCCTTTTTGGAGGTTGGCCCCTTCTCTACATTCAGTATCTACATTTTCTATGTCTAGATAGATCCCCTGTTCAATGAGCCATCAAATCAGAACCATAGATGTCATTTTAAATATTGTAGTAGCCATGTTTTAAAAGTAACCAAAAAAGAGTGAAATTAATTTTAATAATAAATTTTATTTAACCCAATATGTGCAAAATATTATCACTTCAACATGTAATCAACATTAAAAAATGGATGAGACTGTTTACACCTTTTGGTACTGCATCTTTGAACCGCAGTATGTATTTTATACTCGCAGCACATCTCAATTTCTACTGGCCACATTTCAAGGAAAAAATGTGCACGTGGGGGTAGTGGCTGCCACTCTGGACAGCACAGTTACAGATTATTAAAAAGAAGACTAGAAATACAAGTTGCCAGTGTCTCAAATAATTCTGATAATTATCACTTGGATAATAAATATTCAAGTTGTCTTTATGTCTGATTTGGCTTCAAGTAAAAATCAAGCTAAATCTCAAATCACACTTACTTATTCAAAATACATGGACTGAGTACCTACAATGATCCAAGCACTGGTCTAGGTACTAGAGATATATCAGCGAATAAAAACAAACAAAATTCCCTTTATCCTCATGGAGATCATCTGTAAATGAGGAACCTTAAAGAAGTAAGATTCGGAGGTTACAGTAATGAAAATTTAGGATGCCATTTTACAAAATATTTCTTGGGAATTTATGATGACAAGTGTTTTAACTATGTGTGATATTATACAGTAAACAGTATGGAAACATACAGGGAAGACGTAATAAAGTTTCAGCTGAGTGCCCTACCGGGCACTGGGTGTTTTCTGAGACAAGAAGGACAGTGCAGAGGTGCATGTACGTCTGGAGGTGAGGAGAGGCCCAATGAGACAGGTCAACTAACAGAATCATCACTGCAATAGAGAGCTCACTGTGAAACCAATCATGAAAATCTGAGAATTAGTAAGGACTCTGGAGACCTTCTAAGCCAAACCCCTCTTCCTTTAACAGATTAAAAAACCCTTTTAGAGACTGAGGAGAAGTAAACATCTTCTAAAAAATACTTCCATGACGAACAACTTGCAAAGACGAAAGAGAAATGTATAGAAAAAATGGCAGCTTCCTAGTAAGAGCGAATTATTAAAGGCCTTAACTGGGGTCTGTTTTGTTCGAGATTAAGTCACTAAACTGCTGAGACAAACAAATAGAAGAGAGTTTCCTTTCAAACAAATGTTTTGCATTATACTATCTGTAACTTTTAGGAAGCAAGCACCTATCAGCACCATATTGAGGCTCTTGGTTGATTTCGGGGGAAATGAGCAGGATGAAAACTGGGAGATGCAAAAAACAAGTAAACCGCACATAGAGAATCAGGGATGAAAGCAACGGGCATACAACAAACCAAGATGAAAGAAATAAGTTGTGCAAAAATACACATTAATATCTTGAAGTGAATTTCTGACTTCCTCAAACTTACATAAACAATGCTTAACTCCACTGCTCTTCCCAAAGTAATACGGCATTTCTGCAGCCAAGTTTCGATGTGGTATCACAGTGACCTGGGAAACCAGCAAGGAGGTACACGAATACAAAACACTCTCATGTGCAAAATATTTTCCATAGTCCAGCCACTTTTTATCCAATTGTGTAAGTAGAATGCCATCCAGAGGAAACTTTTTCATAAATATCCAACACATGTGGGCAAATGTGGAATCAAAGGATAACTGCCTTTTAGATGATGAAGACCGTTTTGTGTTCTACAGCTTGATTTGTAATTGTTCTCTGTAAGTTTCTCTCCTCCACCTCCAAAGAGCCTGAGGCACATAACATGACTGTGACAGTGATTCTTGGGACTGGGTAAAGCATGTATCAGTATTTCCACAGCAGTGTCTAGCAGCTGGAAAAACACATGTCACCCCCCTGCAGTACAACCTGGGAAGACACCTCTCCATCATCAAGGTTACAAATCATATCAAAAGGGAGGAGGATCCATGAGCTGATGGGTGAACACACAAAAGATAAAGGACTCGGCACCGCTGAATATTCGTATTCACAGATCTGCTAGATCATGAGGCCTGTGGCCAATGATGCCCACTAATGGCCCCCAAGAGCCACCTGGAAAAGAGAAAAAGTCTACTCAGGCCAATACTCCCTGTGGGAGAAGGTATTATCCAATAGACAATGACCCAGA